GCGTACCAGTTTTGACGTGATTGTTTCAATTCCTTTACGTTGCTTCCATGATTGTGATTCGCTTATTTCCTTTGCCTAGTTGGTCACACCCTAGGATCGTAATCAAAATAATAACATCACATGGACACTTAGTGGACAAGGATTTTAGAACTCATAAGTTGACAAAGGACCGCATTTGACACTTAGCTAATCAAGTTAAGGTACTGAAATGACACTAGTTGGATAAATTAGTGTAACAAAGTCCATGGATTTAGATTTTTGGTTACGAAGGAAGTGAGATACCCTCCCATGTCTCACTTGGCTCCTAATCGACTTAATAGGCTATTGGCGATTCCCAAATGGGATAGAACTCTCATAGATAGATCAATCAAATTAACTTCCTAACGTCGTGCAAGGTAAGGGTTTGGAAAAGCCTGCACCAAATGAGGATTGTTGGTCCCGCTCAACATTACCTCTAAACCCTCTTTCCAATTGGCCCATTCTTCTTTGGAGGGTCAATAAAGCTTCACGGCTCCGTGGGGGATTGCTAACATTGATCAAAGATAGACTGATGGTCGCCGGAACCACAAGGAATGGTGGAGGAAGTGCTTGAAGCTCAACAGATTCAAAGAAGAGAGGGATGTTGAGAGGGTTTTAGAGCCTTCTTAGTTGAATTCTCTTCGAGTGAGAACGAGAATTCAGAGTGGGAGAGAGAGCTACGTAATTTTTAGAAGATGGAGAATTAGAGTTAGCAAGAGAGTTTTCTTTTTCTCCTTTGAAAGATACGTGAATGCCCCTCCTCAAGTTGGCGCCCAACATGATCTAAAAAAAACGATCTTTTTGTGATCAACAAATCTCAACCCTTAAATGCTATGATGATCCAATGGTTAATAATTTCTATTTTGAGGATCACAAGGATTGATGACATGTTAATCCTTCACCCTTTGATGCAATTTTAATTCTATGGCTAAAATTTTTTTATGTAGGGGATAAGATGGATTAATGACTTGACAATTTTCAATGGTGAGGATTATCTCTAATTGAATGGACAAAATATAACTACTTGGAGAGCTTTATTTAACCAATTAGGGGCTTTATTAAAGTGTACATGGATAAGTGAGACATGGCAAGGATGAGTGGCTAAGATAACATATCAATCAAAGTCTTAAATGATTTGCTTGATGAGCACAAGGACGAGTGACACGGAATTGGTTATATCCAATGTTTATATGTAATGCCATGATTTATTGATTTTCAACTTAGGGTTAGACTTTCTCGGTTTGACAAAGAAGTCAATCGAAAAGTCAACTCTTGATTTGTTCATGAAATGGTGCACAAGTGCTAATGAAATGTAACGGATCTAATTTATATTTGCAAATTGGATGCTATGAATGCTTATTTGAATATTTTTTGTCAAATATCGAGTTCTGTCATGATAAAAAATCTCGAACTTTGAATTTTACAAATTTGAATCGTAGATGGAAATTCAGGGGTCAACATTCATCTTCGCCAGTAAAATGGTAAAGTTACAGATTTTGAAGCCTCTCAAAAAAGGCCGATATCGACCCATTCATGATGTAGTTTCCTGTGAACATGTATGATAAAACCCCTGTATAATCCTAATTATTGTTTGACTTCTGCAGCAAGCTGTGCTAAGTTAAATTGTGGGTTTGGTTGATCATCTTGTCCTCGAGGCGATAATATTGGTCTCGCCAGATTATCTATATTAATCGGCATGTTAGGCCTAATAGGAATATTCATATTGGGTGGTTCCAATGGAACCATTAGCCTTACAATTTCAAAATTTCGCAATTAACTGGCCTATTAACCAGTTTGATTTGCCAAATTATTGTCACCAATTTAGTTATTTTGACCAGCATTAATCAGATTATTTCCATTATTCTAGCCTTGATTTGAAGTTTTAGGCTTTTGCATGTAGGGAGTTGACTTCTTTAACCAACATGATCAACATTAATGTATTGTTGATGATTGGCTTGATTACGTCTGACATGTGACTTACAATGTAGTTGGCCATATCATTTTGTTACTCTTTAAACATTATTATGATGATTGACACTATGTTGGAGTTTGGAGCAATTTCCCTATACTACTTATCAGTGAGATGCCTAAGAAGATGAACTTCCTCATGTCGATTATCTTCTGCCGCTCTCCTACCAGTTGAAATCTCAAAATTCACAACAGCCTCATTACTAGTTTGTAGTAATGGCTTATTGTTACCAGCAGCATTGTCGGGCTCTTGTTGATTTCTGGTTGTTGCCATTGTAGTCTTCTCAAATCACCAAAATGTGTCCCACCAAGCATGCCCAAAAGATGTTTCATAAAAATATGTGATTAAATACCTTTTAGAATGTATCGACATGAATTGACAAAGGTTGTGAAGGGTCTTTTGTTAATTTTGGATATAAAGTAAATGGCGAGATATTTAAAGGTACGGAGACTAGTGGCAACTGCAGTTAGCCATGTGAATTCCATGAAAGGTAAATTGCAGGAAAATAAAGAAAAAAATAATGGGAAATTGACACAAATAGTCCTTGAGCTTTAGTCCAATGTTCAATCTCGTCCCTGAACTTTCAATTTGTCCAAAATGGTCCTTGAACTATGGATAAATGTTCAATCTAGTCCTTCCGTTTCCTCAAACCGTTAACTGATGATGTGGACCGTCAACTGATGATATGGAGCTGAGTTGGATTTTCTAAATACTAAATAATGATCCAGCAAGTATTTTACAAAAGAAAAACAAATTAGGGCTTCACATAACCCTCTTCTTCCTCCTCCACGATTCTTCAACGATTCTTCTTCCTCTCAACATCAGACTTCTCAAAATGCTTGGGGATCGATACTGAAATGAGGAAGGTTGGGTTGAGGTCGATCTCGGCGACGATTCGAATCTTGGGGTCTTGGAGGACGCGCCACTGCCCGTGCGTGATCCGCTCAATCAGAAATCAAAATGAGGGAAGGAAGTGAGAACCGTGTGAGCATCGAGGAATTGAAATCTCGAAAGAGCTAGTGTTCTTTATAGCTTGAACGCGAGTTTGTGTTTGGTATGCTTTTTTGGTTCTGGAATTTTGCTTCTTCTTTTTTGTGGGTTGAAGGACTTGCTTCTTTTTTTTTGGATCGATGGACTTGCTTCTTCTTCTTTTTTGTGGGTTGAAGGACTTGCTTCTTAGAAGCAAAAAAATTGATTGACCAAAATTTCAAAAACAAAAATGCAAGAAGGCGTACAACAGTCGAAGAAAGAAAAAGAACAAAAAGTGGAGATGAAGACTCAATTTGACACCTGAAGCTAAAACCCATATCTTGTCACACGGAAGACGTTACTCTGTGCCCAGTATGTTGTCTCGTGCGTAATGCTTCCAATGAAGACTCGGGTCTGTACACGTGGGAGTTTTACAAGGACGACGTGTCCTACAGGCTCCTCCATGGCTTTTATTTAGGGTTAATTAGGGCTTTCTTGAAAATGGGTTAACAAAGGCTTTCTCGAAGATGATAATGCACGGTTTATCCGACTCGATCGAAGCATTGTCATGACGTAAAGTGGGAATAGTTTATTTGTGCATGTTGTGCTTTGCAATGCCCTATGAGAGTATTAAAACAATATTGAGTGCACAGTAAGTTTTGTTATAATGTGGTCCCAACTTGCTGTAGTTTTAGGTTGTAGCTTTTTCATGGCTTTTCAGACGTGGCCCTCATTTGTGTTTGTTTTCTTGTCTTTAGATTATACTTTTGGTGTTTATTTGTTTATATTGTATAAACAATAGAAATAGATTGACCGGTGTCCTTTATCTTTTTTAGTCTAGTTGATTTTTATGTTTATCATTTTGCAGATTTACATGGCTGATGAAACATTCCGATTTACTCTATGGGTTGGAGGTAGGTTTGTTCGTGATAGAATAGTAGAGTATGTTGATGGTCATAGTAGTGAGTGGCTCTATGATCCAGACAAGCTGAGCTACTTTGAGATTTTACACTTGGTACAAGATATGGGTTACTCTAATATTGAGAAATTCCACTATTTAATGTCGGGTAAGAATTTTGAGAATGGTCTAAGATTAATTGAAGATGACACTTCAGTACAGGAAATGATGTGACTTTGGGCAAATATTGACGGTACATGTGAGATATTTATTGAACATGGTGAAGACGTGAGTGTTGGCATTGGTGATGGGTTAGTGGGGCGATTGATGAACGTCGAAGAAGATGAAGGAGTTTTAATGCCTATTGATGGGCAAAATCATGAAATCGAAGAGGATGATGAGCTTGTTGAGGTCCCATGGTTATCTGACAATGAAGAAGAAGAACTTCAAGCGGCTAGGGGAAAAATTAGAACTTTTAAGGGAGAAAATGCATATAGAGTTGCTAGGTTGCTGGAGATACCTAGTGAAATAGATGTTGAAGTAAGACGAAGATGGGGGAGGAAAGAGGCTATGACAACCCATTGTGAAGATAATGTTGAGCTTGAGACTGAATGCTTTGACTCAAGTGATTCTAATTGGAGCTTTGTCACGAGTGATGAAGATGAACTAGAGACAGAGGAGGCTGTTAGAAGGAAAAGCACACATGCGCAGTATGATGAAACCACAGAGATACCTCACTTTGCACTAAAAATGGTATTTGATGGCCCTAACCAGTTTAAGGAAGCTATCAACAAATATGCAGCTACCAAAAGAGTTAATATTGATTTTATCAAGAATGACAAGGTGAGAGTTAGGGCCAAATGTAAAGCTATAAATTGTAACTGGTTAATTTATGCAGCTAGAGATAATAAGACAGGCTTGTTTACAGTGAAAACTTTCAAGGATGAGCACACGTGCTCTTGGTCTTTTCAAGTGAGGAGGTTTACATCTACGTACATGGCGAAGCATTATCTAAGCTTGTGGACGGCAGCTCCTTCAATGAAGTTGCAGGAGTTCAAGAAAATTGTGCAAGAGCAAATGAGCTTAGATGTCACCATAAGCTAGTGTAGAAGGACTAAGCGAAGGGTAATCGAAAAACTAAACGGGATGTACTCCTATGAGTTCAATAGGTTGTGGAATTATTGTGAAGAAATTATTCATAGAAATCCTCGAAATACTGTGAAGGTAAAGTTTATAAGAGAATCACCAAATTCAAGACCCATCTTCCAACGATTTTATGTTTGCTTTGATGTCGTGAGAAAAGGATTCCTCGAAGGTTGCAGACCTTTGATAGGGTTGGATGGATGTTTCTTAAAAGGAATGTTGAAGGGTGAGTTATTGACTGCTGTGGGGAGGGATGCAAATAATCAAATGTACCCTATCGCATGGGCCATTGTTGAGGTCGAGAATAAGGATTCATGGGGCTGGTTTGTAGAGGCCTTAAAGAACGATCTTGGCACAAAGGATGGTGTAGGATACACAGTGATCTCAGATCAACAGAAGGTAATGTGATTAATCTTCCTTCATTTTGTATTTTCCATGTGTGCCATATTGTTACCTCATTATATATATGATGATATCATGTATTCTGCTGTAGGGGCTTGTGCAGGTACTGGAGGAGGAGATGTCATCGGCTGAGCACCGACGATGTGCAAGGCATATCTATGCAAATTGGCGCAAGAAGAATGGGGGAAATGATTGTCGCAAGCAATTTTGGATGTGTGCAAAGTCAACTACAATCCCGCAATTTGAAAAACACCTCGAGGAATTGGATAAGATGAGCAAGACAGGAAAGGCTGATTTGATGAGGATTGCTCCAAAATATTGGTGCAAGGCTCACTTTAAAACTATATGCAAGTCAGATATTGTGGACAATAACTTGTCAGAAGCATTTAATGGATCGATACTGGAAGCTAGACACATGTCTATCATATCTATGCTTGAGGCAATTAGAGAGAAGATAGTGACAAGAATGCGTGAAAAAAGAGATGCATGTCAAAGATGGAAAAGGGAAATTGCGCCAAGGATATTAGAGAAGATAGAAGGCAATAAAAAAGAAAGTGCCTTTCGTCATGTGCTTTGGAATGGAGAAGATGGATTTGAAGTGCGCCATAGGAACGATAAATTTGTAGTGGACATAAGAAACAACTCTTGCTCTTCCAGGGCATGGGACTTGAGTGGGATTCCATGCCCTCATGCAATCTGTGTCATACTATTCAAAGGAGAGGAGATAGAAACTTTTGTCGTCCACTGGTATAAGAAGGATATCTATTTAAAGACATACAGTCACTACTTGGGAGCAATGAATGGCGATAACCTGTGGCCTTCTAGTGATAGAGAACCTTTGGTGGCACCAATGCCTCGGGTTATGCCCGGTAGGCCTAAACAAAAAAGGATAAGAGAGGAAGGAGAATCTAAAAATGGATTCAAAGTGTCAAGACAAGGTATAAAAATCACATGCCATTTGTGCTTCAAGCGAGGCCACAACTCAAGAAGTTGTCCATTGAAACAAAAAAAGAAGGTAAGGTTTACTCATTCTATGTCTCTAGTATTTGTTTGTGTCAATATTTTTAACTTCATTTTCTTAATGAACAGGATGAAGAGATAGTCGAACAGAGAGAAGCCAACCCACATGTCGTGGAGATGCATCATAATAGTGCCGCCACTCAAAAGGTACTCTTAACCTTACTTTTAAGTAAGTGATCATGTTCTTGAATAATTATAAGTGCCATTTTAACTAGAGTATTGTTGTTCTTAATAGCCTGAACTGGAAGGTAGTCGAGCCATTTCACTATTAAGAAATACCAACCATGATGTGGATAATGCTAAGAAGGTGGAGAGCGCATCTCGCAAAGTTATCACTACAACGGGATTACAGGTGTAGCTTTATGGTAGTAAACTTGTTGTTATGTAAACATTTGACATTTAATTGATTGATGCTTTTCTTTTGTCTAGCGGCAAAAGGCGGACATTATGAAAAAGAAACAAGAAGAACGGAAACAAGCCGTGGAGCATTTGAACGATATTGGAAGTGTTGGATCAACAATATCTCCAAGAAAGAGGAAAATTTACCGGAAGTAGATGTTTGAAGAGTTGGAAGTAGGATTAGCACTTGTACTTTTTGTTGATATGATACTCTTGAATTTAAGATCAAGAGATAGAGATTGTTTTTTTTTTTTTGTAGTTTTGGAAGTGTTTAAGATGTGGCAATGATGCTGGATAGAGCACAAGCATTCTAGGCAAGAAATTTTTACTTTAAGTAGTATATTCAATATTTGAAAAGTGCAGTTGGCCTTATTTTCGTCTACTTTGTTGATGTTAAAGAGTACATTCAATACTCTTGAATAGTTGGCTTGCGGGGCTCGTTTGTTTGTAAAAATTTTGTTACATTTGATCACTGCCACTTCAGTAAAATGGGTCTCAATTACCAAAAAGAGGTCTAAATGAAGGCAATTTCGGTCTTTATCTCTCAAATGGTTTGATAGCTATATGCATGTCAGTTGCATATAAGCAATTCTGTCTTTCAACTTTTACAGATGTAAGATCATATTGATAAGGCTTTGTCAACAATAACAAGCCAAGCTTGTTCAAAGGTAGATATGAATTTTCTTTCCTCACAACATCGACAAATTTTCGTTCTAAGAACACCAATTTTCATTGCAAACACGCACAGTGAATGAGTTTAACATTTTCATTCCTAAAAAACATTTTTCTATTACAACAAATCAAGACCACCAAATGCTAATGTCTCCTCCTCGCTATATGTTTGTTGTTAATATATCTGACTGTGTGAGCTCGATCGATGTCGGATTGGAAAGAGATTGTGATAGACCAGATCACAGAGGAGAAGTTGATGGAGGAAAGAATTGTGAATTGAATTCAGAAATTATCTCCTTTTGCTCATTTGCGCTGATATGGTCAAAGCCCCCTTTTTTTTCCTTCTCCTCTAGTGATACTACTGCTCGGCCCCAAATCACCACAGAGGGTTTCAGCTTCAAATGTCAAATTGAGTCTTCATCTCCACTTTTTGTTCTTTTTCTTTCTTCGACTGTTGTACGCCTTCTTGCGTGTTTGTTTCTGCGATTTTGGTCAGTCAATTTTTTTGCTTCTAAGAAGCGAGTCCTTCAACCCACAAAAAAGAAGAAGAAGCAAGTCCATCGACCCAAAAAAAAAAGAACCAAGTCCTTCAACCAACAAAAAAGAAGAAGCAAAATTCCAGAACCAAAAAAGCATACCAAACACAAACTCGCGTTCAAGCTATAAAGAACACGAGCTCTTCCGAGATTTCAATTCCTCGATGCTCACATGGTTCTCACTTCCTTCCCTCGTTTTGATTTCTGATTGAGCGGATCACGCATAGGTAGTGGAGTGTCCTCCAAGACCGCAAGATTCGAATCGTCGCCGGGATCGACCTCAACCCAACCCTCTTCGTTTCAGTATCAATCGCCAAGCATTTTGAGAAGTCTGATGTTGAGAGGAAGGAGAATCGTTGAAGAATCGTGGAGGAGGAAGAAGAGGGTTATATGAAGCCCTAATTTGTTTTTCTTTTGTAAAATACTTGCTGGATCATTATTTAGTATTAGAAAATCCAACTCAGCTCCATATCATCAGTTAACGGTCCACGTCATCAGTTAACAGTTTGAACAAACGGAAGGACTAGATTGAACATTTACCCATAGTTCAGGGACTATTTTGGACAAATTGAAAGTTCAGGGATGAGGTTGAACATTGAATCAAAGTTCATGGACTATTTGTGTTAATTTCCCAAAAATAAATTTGAACGTTGATTTTTGTATAAAGAAATAACTTCCTAATTCGATTGGTGGTTCTAAGAAATTATATGTTATCTAGCAACATTTCTCTACAAGAAGTTAAAAAAATCCTAAAGTAGTGTTAATAAACATAATCACTTAGCAGTTATGTTTTTATATCGATTGCTCGCTGTCGATGACTTTGTCGATCAATTTCCTAAGTTTTGATGAAGGCTCCTATCGATAAGTTTCACATTGTGTGTTATTGATGACTTTACTGGTGAGTTGTCAATTTCTTTCAAGTTATCGATAATTCTGTTCATTGGTGAATTCTGTTTTCACCAAATGCTACTTTTATTGACTAAGTCTTTAACTTGTCGATAATTAAAGGATTGGGTTCATTTCGAACGACGAGTTCGGGAAGTACCCACGAACAAAGAAGACTGCTTTGACAGGACCATCAACTTTGCTTGTGTCTGCAACACTTCCTGCTCTTCGAATCGACCAAAGCTGGGGTACATGAGAAGATCCCACAACAAAATTCTTCTGCTGAGACTTTGAGGGCATTGAAAACAAGTTGAATGTAGGAAGATCACTAAAGCAGTGGGGAATCGATTGCTGAGAGAGTTGTGAACTTGATGAAAAGCGGCAAGGAATTGTTAAGTTCAAATCGCGAAATTGAGGTTTTGAAATTGAATGAATCTTCGAAAGCAATGGAGAAGATGACGAGAAGTAAAATCAAATACGTCCCAATATCGATAAAGTGGGAGTAGCAAAATGGGAAAATTATCAAAAAAGTTCTAAATCTATTGCAATCGTATCAATTCTGTCCTAAACTTTTTTTTTTGTGTCAATTTAGTCCTAAACCTTTTGCATTTATGCCAATTCAATCCATCGGGTCAATTTTGACCGGTCGGCGTGGCAATTTTTTAATATATATTTATTATTTTCGAATTTTTATTAATTTTTCCTTTTTCTTTTTCTTTTTCTTTTTCTTCCTTTTTCTTTTCCCACAATGACTAGTGAGGCTCGCCAGCTGCAGGCGAAGGCAGCCTCGTTGGCCACGGGCGAAGTCGGCCTCACTTGCGGCTGGCAAGGCCATGGCCACTGTCACGCCCCGAACCCTACGAGCGCGCGATCATCCCTTCGTGGTCGTAATGTAAGCGACATCCCAGGACTTGTCGCCGACCCAATCGAAACACTAACGAGTAGCGCATGCGAAAGCAACCTCGAACTCTCCGTACAATATATAAACAACGGGATAGTAGAGAGACAACGAATACACATCAACAAGACACTTTTATAAACATAACATCTATTACAACACATACATTTGCAAGCCTTCTACGAGGCCACATACAACCATGAGAACACTTCTCAATAAGCAACTACCTAAGCCTCGCTTAGGCCAAAGCGTACTTCCGAACAATTCTAAACAAGCGATTCAAACAATAGACGTGCCATAAACAATCACAGGCGTCCTTACCTCGCCTTGGCACATACACAAGCCCTGCACGTTAGAATATCGCCATAACATGGCCAATTGTCCATCAAGCACGAGCAAAGCAATTCATGGCATGATCAAGCATAACATGGTTAATAATCCAGACGTGCTCATCAATTAACTCAGGCAAAGCATTCCCCAATGCAAATCGCACTACGGCATTCCACAAAGGAGCATCGATCCGGCCTCTACCGCGATCGGCAACGTCTAGAACCCCCGCCTAGATGGCATCCGAACTCCCGCCGGGCATCATCTAGAACTCCCGCCTAGACGGCATCCGAACTCCCGCCGGGCATCGTCTAGAACTCCCGCCTAGACGGAACGTGTCGTGACCATGCACACACCTCAACAATCATTACCAATTCTTATCTTTGTAAATTAGCCCAATATCAACTAAATCCACCAAAATGTCATGGTAATACCGATAAGTTCCCGAGAGAGAGAAAAACCGAGTATGCACAGAATCGGGGCCAAACTGGGCAGTAACATAGTCACCGAATTTCCTTTAAAATAAATAGTAAATCAACTTCAAAAATTCTGAAATTTGGATATGTCGTATAAAACATCTTGATAAACATTTTCCGTGAAGAACTCGAAACCCAGTTCCTACTGTAAACACCACTTTTTTTCACTTGAATTCAGACAAAATTCAACCCGTCCAGTCAGGCCGCCTGACCATCAAAATGCATCTCATCCAGTACCCAAATCATTTTGTAAAGCCTTAAAATTTTTATATGTCATAGAAACAAATGTTCTTAACAATTTTTGTGAAGGAAGTTTGTTGAAAAGAGGTCTGGAAAAATTTGTAGAAAATCGGAGAGACCAGATGGTCGGATGAACAGTAAATCCGGCAGACTGAATTCGGTCCAAAAATGGACTTACGAATGGTACTAAATGATCTCCAAAAATTCCAGATTTAATATATGTCAAACCTCAATATGTTATGAACAACTTTCATGAAGAACACTTCCTCAAATTCGGCCCACACAAGTCACAGTAAAAATAGCAAAATCCAGCGACGCAGCAGCAACCTTATCGGAAATTAACCAACAAGCACCACCAAGCAAACCAAGCACAACCAGTCACTAAACCAACTATCCACAGCCCTTAAACCATCCCTAACATGTCCATTAGTCACCCCTTAGCCTAGTCAAGGGTTAGGAAGCCACTTAAATTCGTCACGAAACTCCAAAAATTCGACACCAAAGTTCGAGCTCTAAATAACGGCCAAATTCGATCGAATGCGATTATAGCGAAATCTCAATTTGAAAACGATAACCGAGAGTGATCAGTTCCCGGGCGAGATTTTACTATAAGCACACTGACGAATTACACGTTTTATAAA